TGGGTACCCGTTGGGGCACTCACGGGGGGCAGAGCAGCGGGAAGGCGGGTGTTCTCCAGGCTCTCTCTAAGGCGGCGTATCTCGGCACGGTAGCCGTCCAGCTGGCTCTCCAGCTTCTCCCGCCTGACTCGCTCATATTCCAGCTGGGCCTCCAGCTCCCTCACAGCCCTGCCGGAAGCAAAGGGGACAAGGCAGAGCATCAGGCGCACCCAGACCTCCCCTCGCTGCTCCACACAGCCCCGTGCCTCAGCTAAGGAGCAGGTTAGCCACAGCAGAAAGCCGTGCAGCCCTCCCCTCGCCGAGGGTGCTGGTGTGAACTACAGCGTGCTCCTGGCCGGACACTCCGTAACAGCTCTAAAACAGCCGTTTTTCCTTCTTCGCCGTCCGCCGTGCTCAGCGCAGTCACACCGCGAGATGGAGATGTCTTCCCGCACACGGAGCCAGGCGCCAGGGTCCGGGGCAGGCTGCAACCCCGGTCCGTGGCCAGGAGAGGGAGAGGGGCCCACGGAGCGAAAAGGTTAGTATGAAACAGAGAAAAAGCATGAAAATGGGATTCTGGAAGGGCCGGGGGGCAGCTTTTCCGTGACCATCTGGTGCCTCTGCATCCCTCCTGTTGATTGGCTTAGCCACAGATGAGGAATACTCAAATGACAGCCTGCGTGACACTTACCAAAGGGAAACTGAAACACGGGGTGATAAACAGTTGCACAAGATCTCATCGTTCACACCCACAACAGCTCCTAAACTAATGGAGATTCCTGGAACTGGTTAGCTGAGACATAATTCATGTATATTTTTATTATAACATCAATTGACCTCAGCAACTGAGTCATTTGGAGTTGAGCTGGCTCTCCTCTGTACCAGGACGAATTAACACAGACACACGGATGGAAGATCGATGAGAGCAAAAGCGAGATGTCTGCCCTGAGGATTCAAAGAGCACGGTGGCAGGAAAGCTCTCGGCAAGAGCTACCACAATTCCCGGACTGAAGTGCTCCTGACCCATGCAGCCCAAAGCCACCAGGCTGCACCAGCCTTACTGACACCGTAAGCATGGCCTGGGCTTACGCCGGGACATCAGCGCTCGGGAGGACAGGCTGACTCCTGGCACGCTTCGGATTAACCAGACACAGCTCCAAAACTGTGTGGCACACGCGTGGCGGCAACTTTTTCCACACAATGCAGACTGGTCAAAGCACTGGGCAGCGGTTCACAACAGGCTTCTTACAGCCAGAAAACCTGGACTAAAGGAGAAAGGGCCACAAAAATGATCCAAGGGCTTCTCTGAGGAAAGGCTGAGAGAGTTGGGGCTGTTCAGCCTGGAGAAGGCTGCAGGGAGACCTTCTAGCAGCCTTACAGTACCTGAAGGGGCCTACAAGAGAGCTGGAGAGGGACTTTCTACAAGGGCCTGTAATCACAGGACAAGGGGTGATGGCTTTAAACTGAAAGAGTGAATTCTTTACTGTGAGGGTGGTGAGGCCCTGGCCCAGGTTGGCCAGAGAAGCTGTGGCTGCCCCCTCCCTGGCAGTGTTCAAGGCCAGGTTGGATGGGGCTTTGAGCACCCTGGGCTGGTGCAAGGTGTCCCTGTCCGTGGCAGGGAGGTCGGAACTAGGTGATCTTTAAGGTCCCTTCCAACCCAAACTGTTCTATGATTCCATAAAATCTTCAAAATCTGCTACAGTGGCCTTCCCAAATGGCAACTCATGCTTTTCATCTAGCAAAATGGTGTCATCAAACATTTTCAAATAATGAGGGTCTCTGGCATGACACAAGCATCTTGGAGTTTATCCACAGGTAGGTACCCTGAGAAGGGCAGGGAGGTACACTGAGAAGCGGTATTTCCATTTCAAAAGGCCAGTGTCGGGCTAGGGATGCTCTCTGGCCTCCACAGATGAGAGAGACCCTTCAGAGATCCTCACAAGTTTTCTAGTTTAGCCACACATGCCACAGAAAGCAAAACCCTGTAAAGAGCCTTATCAGAGCCCTCTAAAGACACTGCTAGCTTTTGAGTAGCTGCTGTATCCAAAACGAACTCTAATTTCTGCCATTAGTCAACAGTGACTTTTCCATCATTGCAAACAGATTGCGCTGACTTCCCAGTGTAGGCATCAACATCTAAGCTGGTCACCCTACTCCTTTAAAGCCAGGAGAGACACTCCCCAAAGTGATGAATCTCATCCTAAGGTGTATGTCTAATTATGCCCTGAAAGTGCCTACATCTCCAAGGAGTCTAAAAAGGAGCTTAAGGCAACTAACTCGGATGCAGACATCTACATTGCAGATACACCAAGTTAAGGAAGATGGACCTGACCTGTTTCTTGGCTCACATACGGTTGTAAAACCAACTACTTAATCCCAGTCTACGACACCTATTACCTGCTCCGGATCTGCACTGACTGCTCAGTCTGCTGTCTTCCCGATGGCATACAAGCCCTCCCGACACAGAGTCTCCTCTCAGTGACCAACTAAAGACATTGGTTCGGGGTGGCCCAAACATTTAACGGACGTGGTTATCTAGAGAGACTGCAAACAGTGGGCAGCCAAATCTTTGACAGGTAGAGGTGGAGACAGAAGGGCTTTTCTTAAAAACTTAAGACAGTCTGCCCATCAGATCACCTGACCAATCTAACAGAACCCTTTCATTTAATGGAGACCCTGAGAATTAGACAGTCGTTATGAAAAGTGCTTCACATGCAACAGCAGGTTTCCTGAGATTTCTTTTTTTCTGTGGCCTGGATATGCTAATGTCTTCTCAAGAATAGAAATCCATTGCCATTGACACAGAAATGTAGCAGGTCACTGAATAATTTCTGCTGTATATGCACTTCCATCCAAGCCATGCTAAGACTAATGCCTTTTTTCAGATTCATTAAAGTGCATGCATGCATTTGGCATCCTCAGTGCAAACAAAACAGCCAGGACTTAGGAGACATGTGCTGCAGGGAAACCTGAAGACCGAGCAGATAATCTTGCACAAGAAGTGTGGACCCATCAAACACCTGTGTTGTGCTGTGGCGCTGATCCTGGTGGCAGAAATGGTCAGACAAATTGCTGAAGTCCATTTCTTTTTGGCTTGGCCAAAGTTGGTAAGTAGGAAAGACAGAATGGCCAAAACTACTTGGGTGTAAGTAAGTTGTTAAGGCAGGCATTAAAAAGAGTCTCACAGAGTTAAACATTAGCAGGGCAAGTTAACCTTACTTCTCAACTTCCCTTTCTTCTTTTTTCACCTTCTTCTCCTCCTCAGTTATTCCTCCCAGCTGTCTGTAGTTGCTGTAGGCAATTTCCAGAAGTTGCTGAAGTTCTTGAATCTTGTGATAGGCCCTTACTGTAAGACAGAGTGCTCCAGGTAGGTAAACTACATGGAGAAGACAGTCATGCTGCAATCCTATAGTCTGGAAACTAGTCTTAAAAACATAGAGCAGAAATCACGCCACTCAGCAAATACTAAGCTACACCTGACACCCACACAGCAAAGAGATCTCCACAAGAGGCAGCAATCCAATACAGTTTCACCAACACGGATTAAGCCAGCGTAACAATTATGTTCTGATTGCCCTCTGCTACGCTTTCTAATTTTCCACAATTTATCTGAATGCTCAGTGGTACAGATATCCTGTCTACTGTCTCATCTTGCAACAAAAAAAGTCACAGCAGTTGGCAGAAACCATGCAAGCAGGACCATAACTTTCTCAAATAAGGAGTAATGGAAAGACAGTGCTTACTGCGTGCGTTCCTTTTCTCAGCTTTATCCAGGGTTAAATCTTCTTTGCTATCTGTACTCCCTTCCACACCATGTCTTTCAAAAAACTTTATGTTGTTTGCATCTAGTTCTTCATCACTAGAGTTACTGTCTCCAGTTCTTTCTGTCAAAAGTTCCACAGCTGCCAGCTGGGCAAATCTGCACAGAGAACAGTTAACCTACACTGAAATATCCTCATCACCTGGAAAAATGCACCCATGCTCTCTGGTGTGATAGAAACTCTCTGAAACTCTTCATGTTCCCATTTATTGGGGGGTGAGAGTGGGTGGTGACAGGATTAAAGGACTGGTACACAAACTACAAGCAGCTAATCTGCTTTTTGTAGTATTCTGATGACAGGAGCTCTGCCTCAGTGGAATCTTTTGACAATGACTCCCACGTCAGAAGTATCTTTTCCTTTGCAGGTTTTCTTAATTGAATCACATCAGAAACTGTATTATTTTTGCTAATGAAAAAATCAGCTGGCCTTCACCTGTTCTTATTTACTTTGTACAGCTGGAGCATACTGGCTCATAACTTTCCTTTTACAGATCAGCTAGTTCTCATCTTTTACGTCTGATCTTGCTCAAAAAAGAAATTAAGTGAAAATTACAGCCTTTTACAACTACAGTACAGCTTTGCTTATCACTCGGAGCTGGAATTCATGGGCCTGATCTGTTCTTGTTCCATCACCAAAAATCAGGAGTAATTCCAACAACGCTGACATGATATTGATACACAAATAATAAGTAAATAAACGACAGAGCTACAGGATATGTACCGCTACCTCTTTGCTACATCCTTTGGAGTCTCTCCAGCATCATCTGTGATGTCACTGTCAGCTCCCATGTCAAGCAACCACCGTAAGCAATGGACATGCCCCTGTGCAGCAGCTAGGGGAAGGAAGGTGCACACAAGTCAGTTATATACAAATGCAGCCTTTCAAACCTAAAATGTCCCCTTCTTCTCATTTTTTGGCATGCCAGGGGTTGGGTTCACTAAGACACCAAAGGGCAGATGCTATTTCAAGAGAAGTCTATATGTCAAGATGCTCAAGTCACATGCATACACGCAGTTTCGGGGAAGATCACGCAACGTGGTTTGTGACTCTAGTTCCAGAAATTTACTGGCAGTTCTTCCTGAACACGAGTTAAACTAAACCTGCCCAGTCTCATGCGCTGAGCATGAGACACAGCAATAACTGCTGCCTCATGCCTTCTTGCAGTGAGGCCGATCTGTCACCGATCTGCAGCAAAGCACTGTCACCATGCTCTGGCTTTGGGCTCCCATACATCAGGCGCAGCGGGTTGCCCCGATCTGTGGTGTGGTACTGTCTCACAGAGGAGGAGAGCAGCCAGGGCTTTGTGCTGGAGCCACAGGCATGTCATTTCTTGGGCCAGATACTCAAGGCCACACTTCCCAGCTGCAGCCTAACGCAACAGCTTTGCCTAGTCATAGGATCTGGCACGGCTACTGCTCACACCACATGGTGCCAGGAACGATGTCTCACATATGGAAGATGGTATTTGGCATGTCTAGCTGAAACCTGTAAGCTGTTTTTCTCAAGAAAGAATAAATCCATTTCTTGACAGCACCCCCTCTGGATGTTTGCCATATTTGCTTTCTTACTGAGATAAGGAAATGAAATCACACTCAAAGGATGTGTATTTCCCCATAACACCAACACTGCACATGAAGATTGCGGATGAAACAATCGAAGGTTACCACCATTCCAAGAAAAGAGTGTGGAAAACAATGCAGAGAACAGTTTCAAAATCAATACATATACATTTTCATAATGAGAATTTTAATTACATTTTTTAAAATTCTAACCTTTATATCTACTCAAAAAGAAATGTGGGAGATATAGTGTTAAAAGCACATTAAAAGAGTACCTCCCTTTCTTTCCTCTCCTATTTTTTCAGACCCTCAAACACAAAAGGACCATTTTTCTGTAATGCTACCACTCCACTACATATCAAGGTGTTACATACCAGAAGTTTACCTTCCTTTACAGCATCCTACCAAATGACTTTGTTGTGTTTTTTACCACACACCTCCACAGTACTGACACATTCAGTAAATAAAGGCCCAGGCCACAATACAGATCATTCTTACACCTCGCTAGCCAATGTTTCTAAAAGTCACATCTTGCCTGGTAAAAAAAAAAAAATCAGTTTTCAGTTTAGATGTTGCTTTCTCTTTAAGACAAACTCTTCTTTCCTGACTTCAGCTTAGTTATTTTGTTTTTAAAGTGACACCTACGCACACATACATCACAAAATCTGTATTTCAGGATTGCCCTTTCGAGCCCTCAGGAAATGAGATACTGTTTTTCATGAAGTTTATCTGATGAGCAGCCACTTGAAAAACTAAGTAAACAAGTCAGCAGCAAACAGTAACAAGCTGAAACACAGCTCATAATTACTGACCTTTGTGCATGAGAGTGGATCCCTTATCATCCCGCTCATTAATATTGATTACTCCACTTCTCACTAATCTTCTAAGCACTAACAAGTCCCCTTTGAAAGCAGCGCCATGAGCTGGGAAAGCTAAAACTGAAAATGAAATGTACATGTTTCCAAACAGATGCCAGTAATTCCACTAAACACGCTCCTATCTGTCTCTCACTGCTTGCCTCTCTCATAGCAGCTTATACAGGGACACTTCATAGACGTAGTCAGCAAGGTTAATGCACCTTTAATCAGTTAAAATGCACCTGCATAACTAGCACTGTCCATCACAGACTTGATTAAACATGTCTTGGTTATGGCTGTAGGCATCTTATACAGTTAAGAGATTAATTTCATAAACCTGAAATAACAAGCACACCTTTGTTTTACGGATGATGTTATATTACTGGTGGTAACTGGAGTCATTTGCCTATTTTGAATTTCTAAGTCTAACCAAATATATAAACTATTTTGCTTCTTCTTGCTTAAAAACTACCTGTACAGACAATTTGATTTTTCTAGTTAGTTTTCATAGACAGGGAGTACGGACATACATACACGTATAATTACAAAAGACTGGCAGATAAGGACAGTAAGTGCCTGGAAAAAGTAGAGAGGTGAAGGCACGGTTCTCATATCCTTGCTCTGCTGAAGGTTCTCCTTACAGACCTTGCCACGCCTGCATCCTTCAGCTGTTCTGACTGCAGTAGTACTGCTGGTTAGCAAGTAACCTTAATTTCAGTGGGACATTTCCAGGCTAAGCTGGTGTTCAATGCAAGTAAGGGATTCTGAGCAGTCAAATGTGAAAACTCATGAAAAATGTACAGCTTGTCTGGACATGTACTGGAGCATAAGAACATCGATAACTTGGTATTCATAGCGCAACATAGTGTGCCAGGTTTTATTTCAATAATGGGTAGACCTAAGACACTTATAAAATCACACTGAGCATCCCAGTCTTTAGCTATCAGTAAGTGCAGCAAGTATTGAAAAGAACAGCTCTTCCTTATACTGGTAATTTAAATGTTATACTTCTACTCACAAGTTTTCGGAATCCAGCATTTCTATAGAATTGCAATGCCTATTTTAACAGTGTCTTGATCCGTACTCACCCTCCTGTGTCTCTGGTTGCTCTTCCTCATTTTCCACACTGTCGATATATTGCAGAATATTATCTTTATAGAACCGTTCAGCCAAGTCCCTCGGAGTCTCTCCTTGGTCATTCCTGGCTTTCAGTGTGCGCATGACACTGGCCATTTTACTGACCAAGAACTTAAAGCAATGCAAGTGTCCTTCCATTGCTGCCAGATGAGCTAAAGAGCAAGATGAAACGAAGTCCGTCAGAGCAGAGCACAGCTGCCCACCAAGGAGGCAGTGCCCTCGGTACCAGTCTGATCTAGCTCAGCTACCAGCACCTGAGCCATCCAACACAGCACAACTAGCGTGAGCAGCCTCGGTTGGATAGCGGATGCCCAGCTCCTACCCAGGACAGAGTTCAGCTCTACAGAAAGGAGGTAAGAGTCAAGGACAGGATAAGCAAAGACGATTCCCTGGCAGAGCTGATTGCAGGCGACAACGCTGCCAAGAGACCTTTGAGCACTAGCTAGGACAGTGTGCCAGTGGGGACTCGTCTTCCCCACGAACACAAATCTCACTCCTCCGCAGCTGTCTGCCTTCGCTGTCCTAGGGATGCTCATTACAGAGGGTCAGCAAGGGGCGTCCCTGATTAGGAGTTCCGGCCATTTCTGCTTTTGTGCCACCACAGACAAGTTGCATGACACCCTAAGTTACCCCACCTATAAAATGAGGACGGTGACATTCACTTTGCTGGGTATTTGAAGGTACACCTCACAACAGCGGCTTCTATTCACAGCACTTCTCTCGTGCATTTCTTTCCTCCAACCGCTGCAGACAGTTGCTCTGTGCTGGAGCTTCTCCACCTCCCCACAGCAGTGACCGCGTCCCTGCAGGGGCCAAGTGTTGCCTCCCCTGTCCTTCAGGCTATGCTGAGGTTTAGTGATTTAACACTACTGGAGTGCTGGGCCTACAACAAAGCAAGAGGTGCAAAACACATGCTCATTGTTTTGAAATGAGTAGTACTCTCTACTCCCATTAATGGGAAGAAGTTGCCAAATAAATGCTTATTATTTGTTATCACTCCATGAAAGTGCTCTGTAAAAGCTGGCTGGTGTTCTACAGGTAAAAGTATTAGTTTGAACTACTAGGCACAGCCCATTCCATACGTTGAATGAGCCACAGTTCCTCCAAAAAAACAGCATGCTATAGGTAATTAAAGCCTATGCTCTAACACACACACACAGAAGGTGCAGCCAATTTTTAAGTTTTAGGTGCACAGCACTGCAATCTCGGTAAATTTCTTTCAGTACACTGTTAGGAAAAAACACAGCACTGTCCACCTAATCCTGAAGCTGAAACATGTAAAGATGATTTAAGTTCACTTTGCTGTTTCAGAAGCTGAGGAAAAACTGGTCAGTACAGCACTGCACTTCTATTGATCTTTTACTAGCAATGTTGCAAAGCATTTTCTTTCCTTCGGATGATAATATGATCAAATGAAACAGAACAAAGGCTGGAGGATCAAGCTTCTGTAGATGTCCAAATGACAGCAAAAACAATTAACTCTACTAACCAGTATATACAGAGCATTTAAGTAGAACTGTGCTGGCAACTGCCACCTCTCTGTAAAGTCTGTTATCAGGGAAGTGTTCCCAAAAGCAAATAAAGCTATCGTCTACACTGCCACCAGGGTGCCTAACATCACGACCCTCATTGCTGGTACACCAGATGTCCTGCTGGGATGCAGGACAAGCCTTTAGCAAGACCCAGGTTTGCAAAACGGAACATAGATATCAGTTTACTAGGTAAGTGGTGCTTAGCAGAGGGTGAAAGATTCTAAGAAAGGATCTAAAAAGATAACTCTAAACATGTTGTAAGGAAAAAAAAATTGCTATTTGGAGCAAATAATGCGACAAACCATAAGAAGGAAAATGCTAAAAGGGAAAGGATGCAAAGAGAACACAGGGTACGAACAATACCATCCAACCTACAGAGGATACTGTGGCAGTGGCAGGGTAGGCAGAGGGACACTGGAGAAACTATGAAGAGCAAAGCATGAACACTGCCCACTTTTTGTGCTAAAGCAGCTATGGTCATGATTATGAAAAGAGTACAATATTGCAGATAATACAGAATATTGGTATTCCAGAAATTAAGGGGAAGAAATCACAGGTAAATGAGAGCAAAGGTTTTACCAAATCAGTGAAGAAACAGTGGGATACAAAAAATCTGCATATGAACACGCCAGAATCTGATCACACTGGCATTCAAAGCCTGGCATAAATTCAAAACGAAGCATACAGCAGCAGAAACAGCCTCCTGCTCCACCTACCACCTCCTCCCATGACCTCCGTGGGCACACGCGCTCCACCACGGGCACAGGAGGTGCTGCCCACCCACACACCGCTCTCAGCCAGCCTCCGCCTGCTCCCTGTTCCAGCACCCATGAGCTCTGACCCTCCCCAGAAGCAGCAGGAGGTGAACAGGACACCTTCACCCACAGATAAACACTTTGGATTTTATAAATTCCCCCATCATTTCAAAAATGTAATAACTGTGTTGATTGCATGGAATCAAATAGCAAATGCTGCTGGTGTGCACTACTTATAATTTGCTACAATTACCATATTGCACAACAACTGTTAACCAAAGGTTAAAAAAATGTATGATTTATCCCGATATACCTGGGAGGTTTCCATTGCTATCCACATCATCTACACAGGCTCCCCATCTTACAAGAAGCTGCAAACACCCCAAGCGACCATGAAAAGCAGCATAATGAACAGGCTTCCAGTCATTCCTGTCTGAAACATTCACATTCTAAAACGAAAGCAGCAGGTTAATTCATTCATTTATGAATCTTAGACACAAGACAAATTTTATAAACAGGAACCGGCTGTTCATTGTGTTAAATTATTGAAATCAAATCATATTGCTTTTGTACCAAAGATACGTACTTTTCACAGGTTTTTGATTTAAATAATACACATACAAAAGGTGCATTTTCAGACAGACTTCTATCACAGCTTTAGTCATTATTCCTTAAATATGCATCTAAGTTTTTTTTAATCTCCTTTGCTACAGAAGATTTGTACTATCGCAAAAAATCACAACCACAGTGCCTGCTCTTCGTTTAATGACATCCTCAGAGGAATGTGGTTTACTCACACTATTGATTCTCTCTAGATTTCTGGACCATTTCCCTAATGTATCTCACAATGGAAATTTACCCTAAAAATAAATCACTACCAAGAACATACCAGCAGTACCTATTGTACAGTCCTAAACCTCAGTTTCAGCTAGGGAGAGTTTTGTCTGGAAACAGACACCAGACTGGCTCTGCGCTAGGGAACTGCGGGCAGAGGTGTCTCACCGCTCCGCTTCGCAGAATGGTTTGTAAGGTGTAAGACTGCCCGTGGGCTGCAGCTAGGTGGGACGGCGTGCACCCACGGTCATCCTGAGCTTCCGCGTTTGCTCCATTTGTCAACAAAGCCTAAAAGAAATGCAAAGCAGAAGTTCAGTGCACAAGCTGAAAAAGCAAACACTGCCTAGCAGGATGACTTGTGACAATCCACAGGATAACTCCAGGCTGACCTCAAGGCCCTGACACTACACAAAATAAACCTGTTTACATAGACAGTGCAAACAAGCACACCGGTTTTAACAACAGTGACTTGATTCTAGACATCAAGAGGGGATACTCATAGCTCCATTAGGAGCTCTCTCAGCTGATCTTCATAATGAATTTGTCCACCCTGAAGGTCTGCCCCGCTTACTTTCGCTTGAGAGTGAATATTTCTACGTACCTGCATGCAAGCATCCTGACCTCGGATGGCCGCGAGGTGAGCTGCTGTCCAGCCCCCGGCTGTCACCTGTGCTGCGTCAGCTCCCTGCCAGAGCAACCAGTGAAGGCACTGCGCAACCAGAAACAACGTTTTTTATTTAACTATCCCTACCACCTGTCTCAGGCACATCTTAACTATAATTTATCAGTCGATGTTGCATTTCAAAACAGTATCGGGACACTTCATTATGGAAATATGACACCCCAGAGCATGCCTCAGCCAGATACTGGTGCATCAGGAAGTTCTAGGTTAAGTTACAGTTTCCAGGTTTCACCCAAGGGTACAGAAGTGTAACTAACCTACTAATTCAGACCCTATCGTTGACTTTACCGTATGGCTTCTTATTTTTACTCTTCCAGATTTAAAATGAGTATTCACATGGCATGAGGTAAAAGCACCACTCAGCTGAATGCCAGTTAAAACTACTGGCAGGAAAACACCACGAACCAAATTTAAAGCCTCATTTAACTTATTCGGCTCCTTAGGTGTACAGAATCCCATCTCTTTTCTCATCCCTCCAAAGCCTTGTTTTGGTTATTCACCTTTTTGCAGCAGATATTACTGTTTGTAATGTAAAGTTTTATCAACTATCCAAAAATGGCTAGAGGACCAGTTAAAAGTTTTTATTATACATTATTATGATTTGTTATCTTCTTTTTTAGGCTAGGCTACGGCTCTGGTTCCTCCACTGTTTCCATCAGGGAGCTTAGCGACAAATAGATGACAGATAATTCAATAAGGTCTAACACACTACAAAGTAGTGGAGTGAAATTAAAAATGGTAGAATTTATAGAGGCAGAAAAAGGTGGGTAAGCAATATAGTTTTAGGGCTGACAACATGATAGATTCTGTACATTCCAGTAACAGCATTGCACTTATTTTTTCTTGAGTTTATCAAGAACTTTACATTCTTTCCTTCGGGACACGATTTTTTATATGGTTATTCACAGCCTTGTTGCTTCGAGTTTAGATTGCTATAAATATTGTACGAGGAAGCTGCAACAAGACGGTGAATGTTGTGCTGAATGTAGCAGCTCAGTCCTCCTGGAAGTTCAAAACATTCATGCACCTGCTGTTCTGTCCATCAATTTTCAACGGGTTTATATATTAAAATAAAATGTATTAAGACTATTTCTATAGAGAACAAGGCACGGGACAGGACACTGGTAAATAGCATGAACATGTTCTCATGTCACTTCTCACCTGTTTCAGTCATCTTTTTACATTTTACACACCTTACAGGATTTTCTAGGTGTCCCAAGAGAAGGGAAAAACACAACAGCGACAAAAGAAGGTCATGAGTCTGGAAGGAGACCACAGGGCACACTTTGCTCAGAGCAAGAAAACCACTGATTTTGTAAAATCTGGCAACTTTGACTATATAAACTGCCTGGGGCTTCAGAAAGGCAAAATTAAAACCTGAAACCCTGTATTTCTGCTCTTGGTGAACATATTTAATAAGAAAAACAGGCAGAGATTATTGATTTAGCTTGATCAAAGCTAGCAATTTTGTGTCCAGCCTCTCCCAAAGAAGGAAAACATTAACCTATAAAAACCTTGCTGTGTCTGAACACTAACAGAATGTTTTACCTCCAGACTTCCAGAGTGTGCAGCACAGTGCAACGGTGTGAATTTGTGGATTAAATCCACCTTGTTAATACCAGCTCCACTTTTTATCATTGATGCAAGCTGTTCTACATCACCAGCTTTCACTGCCTCATGCACACTAGTATAATTTTGCTTCTTCTTGACAGCTAGTGAGGAATAATAAAAGAGCATTAGTCAGTTCAGCAGCATTTAAGAGATAGGAAATTAGTGATGAATCAAAGAAACATCAGCATGTCAGAATCACAGGAATTAGCCAAAATGTTGAGAGTAACCTATGAGACTGAGATTCCTATCAGCAGGAAAATCCTAAGTTACCTCTTGTTTGTCAGAAACAGAGCACTACGTAAAACCCTGAGACAGCCATGCTCCCTCCAGCCCCAGAGAGTAACACGCAGGAGAAAGATGACATGAAGCACAGCAACAGGAAGCAGAGCTACTCCATCCACGTATGGAACTGCTGGAGCAGGTCCACCCCAACACAGGCTCTCTTCTGAAATCATGGCCATCATAAACTCCTTCATTAATCACATTTTCAAGTACGACACCAGTGAGGCTTCTCACTTGGGCAAACGAGCTCTCAGCCACCACTTCCCAGAAGCTCCACATGGTCATGCTCGGGCTGCAGCTGCCTAAGGACTCAGCACAGTGCTGCACACCACACTGGAGGGCACCACAGCCTTTACCAGGCGAGCACACCACATAATCACTCTTGACTGAGCTACACAGACCAGCTTCAGGACAAACTGATGTCAAAATTAAAGCTACTGTAGAAAAGCAGTTCCTTATACAACGTGTTAAGTCATCCTGTGTTGTTCTCTTGCTAGAACTATGGCATTGCTCTGTCACAGCTCACTGATAGCAGCCTAATATTCTGCTCCCAACAAACTCCGTAACATTTTCACTGACCTCAGCGGCACAGAATCAAACTCTAAGTGTAGAAGCAGTGGGGTCAAAGAAACCCAAAACCCACCACCAGGCCATGGGATCAAAGAACTTTGTTCTCCTTCAGGCCTTTCCACTGATTAACGACTTGACTGGAAACAATGGGAGTTACATGTCCAAACCCCTTTGCAACATCTTGTTATCTTGCCAAAACAGGAATATGTGATGTAAGTAGATCTAATGGCTGAGGGGGCTAACTTCAGACAGCCAAGCACAAGAAGAACCTAAAACAATCAGTAATCACCTTCTGGAGCAGTCATCATTCCAGTACCAAAATGCACTAACTCAGTTTCACAAGATTTCTTGCTGTTAGAAGTCTCGAAGAGGTGGGCTGCTGTTTTGCAAGTCAAGCAAGCATGAAAGCGTAGGTCTTAAGGTATTCGTGCCTCAGCTTCTCTGCCTGTGGAGAAGGAATGGTGGTAGTCGTCAAAATTGTTACACAATTTGAAATAAGAAATATTAAAGAAATAAAAAAAGAGTTGCCTGAAAAGCTTTTGTGATACATATAAAAAAAGCACTAAATATGATAAAAAACAGCCTTCATAGTTTACCAGCGCCTATCTTCACGTAATCTGTAGCACGATAGCAGTGCTCGGGCGGATTTGGGGCTGCCATGGGGAAGAGGGCTGAAGCTGGTTCAATAACCCAGGCTGAGTAACACACCCTACGCCGTCACACACTACTTGACCTTGTGGCTGTGTATCACTCCATGTCCACCTCCCCCAGCTCAGCAGGCTGTATCGCTGCTGCCCTGCGCAAAGCAGCTTCGGCTAGGAACCGGGGCTCCATCCTGCAAAATACGGCATGAACAAACAGCAGCAGCATAGGAACACCGAGTATTTCGGGTTGGGAGGGACCTCACGAGGTTATCTAGTTCATGTTTCCAAAGAATATTTAAGTAGGTGTTGTGGTTTGAGTCGTTTTTTTCAGGAGACAGTATCACCAGGATGTAATTTTCCCACAGGGGAGCCATTTCTCGTGGTGCCAAGTGAGGGTTACAGACTTCAGCACAACGACACAGACTCACATCAAAGGACGATCTGGCCAGTTACGCCACTTGCCAGAGCACTGATGCGTTTAACACAGTGTTCCAGTGCAGCACATTCAAGGCAATCCGGATTTTTTTATTATTTTTTTAACCCAGAAGAAAAGCAGCTGCCAAGGCAGAGCGAATCTTGCCTCCCTTCTCCCTCCGGAGACCCACAGCTGTGCGGGGGCCGATGGCCAGC